GGGGGTGTTCCTATTCACTTCCTTCTGGGCTGCAGCATGATGGCCTGTCCTCCTTCTTTCTGGGCTGCAGCATGATGGCCTGTCCTCCTTCTTTCTGGGCTGCAGCATGGCCTGTCCTCCTTCTTTCTGGGCTGCAGCATGGCCTGTCCTCCTTCTTTCTGGGCTGCAGCATGATGGTCTATCCTCTGGTAACCACTTGTATCTCGGCCTCACTTGCTGTTTGCTTTTTGGTTGTTTGACCTCCTGACCTTGAGCTCAGGCTTTGCTGTCTTTTTGGTTCCATACTCAACTCTAAAGTACTGAGATACCCGGAAAACAATGTAATGATAACCCAGGAGCTGGTTGGGACAATAAACACCTATAACTCTGAAGACAGTTCTAATTCTAACTTGTTTCCTCCATAGGAACTCTCCCTCAGCCTGAGAGACTTCCGTAGTGTCTGCTTGATCCCTTTATGTAACAGGTTTCCTGATGGAGAATATATCTCTTTATTTTTGGATTTTCCTTTCCAGATTACTAGGATTTTTACTGTTTTCTTTTCGGCCCCAACACAGTAATCTTTAAAAAAACATTGTTTTAATCTCTCGGTGTAACACATAAAATAAGAAGACGAGCTCATTATCTCCAATGTCCTTCCCAGCTCTGCAGTTACATAATTGCAGGACATTCTAGGGCACATTTTCATATATGACTTTAGTGAGTTCATTGGAACATCCACACAGCTCTGTATAATTGTGGATTGTCTTTCCCAGCCTCAGTCACAGTAAGTGGACCCCTTTCTTATTAAAATAATGGCTTCCTCCTCCTGGGTCAAAATATTAATTCACAGCAGCCGCCAGTAGCACTTCATGCACACAGTGGGCAATCAGTTGCCAGAAAACCCTCTGTGAGATCTTTAACTAGGAAGTCATCAAAGGAACAAAATGGAAAACTGGTGCTTTAAGTATGAAAGTGAGAGTTTAAACTATATTATAGAAATCATTTTATCCGTTTGTAGATATAAATATTGAACGGCAACATTCGGTGTGAAAGATGCTCGCTCTGATAGCGTTTATCCTAACGTATCGCAGAAGGTGCTTTCCAGCCCACTATGGCAGTCTCAAGCCCCTCCCTTACCTTTCTCTGTCTTTCACTGACTGTTCAGCCATTAATGTCTTCAGCTCCTCTAGACGCTGGAGGTCTCTCATTTCCATGTCTTGCCACTTCTGTTGTTTCTTAGCCCAGTATTTCCTTATCTGTCATAGAAATGTTACATCAAATTTAAATTAACGCTGGATAAAATGGAGGAGGGGCATAACATTGTGCAGTTGCTCACACAGTAAAGAGCAGATTGAAACGAAATTTCGTCTTTTTTCTCTTTCTTTCTTTCTTTTTTTTTTTTTTTTTTTTTTTTTTGGTTGTGCTTTAGAACTTCCTATAAAAGATTGGCAACAGAAAAAAAATAAATGAACACACAAAGGTATGAGTCTCTGAAACACTCCTGGCTTAACAGTTTCTGAAGTGGAAATATAATGTGTGCTGAGACCCAGGTTTTAATCTATGGCTGAAATCATCAGCTTTCAGGGAACCACAAAAAAAGAAATGTGTTACTGCCTCTGAAGAATATGACCTACCTGTTACCCAGGAGTATTTTTATCCTCTTATGGTAATGCAGTCTTTAGCAAATATAGCATTAAAACTATTTTTACCTTAAAAGCATGCGCTTATTTATGCTAATGGACAGCAGGATATAGAAAGCTTTATGCTCCCGGGGAAGTGGCAGGAGATGGGTGGGAGGAAGGAGGGAAAGAATGAATTAACACGGTTGTGGTAAAGAGCAGTCTCGACCTATGTGGTAAAATCAAGGTCGTGTTCACCAGGTTCACGAAGGTGGAAAGCATCGCTCTTCCTGAGCCCGGTTTTCTTCTCTCGATGGAAGCCAACTACAAGCGCTATTTGCAGGGAGCCAAAGCCATCTCTGGTTCCACAGTGTGCTTAGGCCACTCAAGTTAATAAAAGCCTCTTCAGCTACTCTAGGCTGCCATGTTGCGGGCTCAAGACACTGGGTCTCGCTAGTGAAAGACGGTGGCGCTTCAGTGGTGACAGGCAGCAGTCTGCAGGGCGACTGGCTAGCCTCACCTCCAGGGGGGCACTTCCTCTTCCGAGTTTGGATATGAAAAGCTAAGTGCTTTCGCGGCTGGTCCCAGCAGCATGGTCTCTGCCCTGGGAGCCTCTCAAGAGGCAGCTGAAGCTGCTGGCCACAGCCAGAGAAATGCTGCAGCTGCAGGGGGACCTGGTGTAAGGTGAAACCCGTGCGACATGACTCAAGTCAGAGTTTAAAGAGAGAAACCAAAAAGATGCCCACAACAAAGATGGAGAGAGAGGGGTTGGCAGGGTGGGTACAATCCTCCTGATGAATGCCAGGAACCCCTACGTGCCGGGCAGAATAATAGTTCCATCATCTCCATTGCAAGTATAAGAGATCTTCATATTCTTTTGTATTATCTTATAGGGTTTTTTGTTCTATTCTGCTTTGCAATAAATGTCTCTCATTATCAAGGTGATAATGAGATACTTCAAAACCAAATTTGAAAAAGCACATCTATAAAATGAAAGAGAACTTTCTCCTGGGCCATACCAACCCTGTGACTTGTGCTTACTCTTGGCGTTGGCCTGGAAGGAAGACCATGGCTCCTCCTGCAGACAGGCTGCTGTAACCCTCTCATCCCCGACATTACTTGGCATGTTGCCTTGTGCAGATCGGAGTATGATGCCCCCTGTCCTCCCTTCATTCCTCCTTTCTCCCCTCCATGCCTCTGTTCTTTCTTCTCTTCTACTGGCCCCCCTCTTCCTGCCTCTCTCCTTTCTCCCCGTGTCCCCTTCCTGATGCAGTCATTAACAGTGCTTAATCCTGACCTGGGCCCCCGGAGACTCAAGGCCACAAGCTGAAAGGATCCTCACAGCTTCACACTTCAGAGCACCTCTTCCTTGCTATAACTAGAACCCTTGGAAGAACTGCTCACTCTCCGACATGGCATTCTGGGGAGTGCTTTTCATTTGTTATTAACTATGACTTTAAGAACACCATCACATATTTCTCACACACAATTCCTTCTATTTTCCATATTTGTATTGTCTGAATACAGCACCCTTTGCCTGTTCTTGTCAGTGCTGGGTGTGGACTTCCAGGTCACCTCCAGGTCCGTGTCAAGAATAACCTCAAAGCTACCTCTGCCTGTCTAGGCAACATCTGAATTTCCGTTCAAGCTGTTATTCTTACAGTTCTTCTAAAGAACTGTGTCCTGCTTCGGCGTTCGATTATCGTTGGTGTTCTACCCCTTAAATTATACAGCAATAGACTCTGACAAGAATTGGCTCCTCTCCACCTTTATCCTCTGGGTTCTGACCCAGTACAGTTTAGTCTTTGGCCCTCAACATGAGGCTTTGCTAAGTAGTACATCCTCTCTCCCACTTGATGGCAAAACATGTGATTTCCTAATCTTGGCACTTCCGAGTGTCTTCTAGAACATAGCATGTACTTAATAACCATTTCATTAATGATACAATTGTATGGACAGATAGCAAATTCATGGCTTTGGTGCGATCCTCAGCGACGATTATTTTTTTAAATCAGTGCTTGGTCAGCAGCTCCCAATTTGTCAATGGCACTCCAAGACAAGTTCCCTATGTTCTGCTCTGTCCCCACCACTGCCTTCTCACTTTTCACAGGAAAGATGAAGGCTCTAACCTTCCTCCATACCCCATGGAGAGAAAGGGCTATCCTTCCTTCAGTGCTCATAAGCATGTGCTCTGGAGACCCAGAAAGACCTGACCCCAGGCGCAGCCCTCCGTTCTGAAATCTCCCTACTCCACCCTCTGTCCCTCTCTTCATCCCGCCTCAGTGCTCTGTGCGCTGCTTCCTTTTCTGCCGTCCAATTAAACACATCTCTCTCCAGTTAAAAATCCGAAGAAAGACTTCTTTTAAACCACCAAGGTGGTAGCGGCGTGTCATTCAAGGCTCTTTTCCGTTAAAGCACCTGAGACTGTTTACTGTGTTCCACCTTTACATCTATACTACCCCCCACTCACAGCGTTCTTATCTCTGCCTTCTAAAGAGGAGGAATTTACCAAGCAACAGGGAAAGGCAGAGCAATTATAGGCCAGTAGTAAATCCAAATATATCAGTAATAATCCAGGCAAACTCATTGCCTTTACTAGTGACTTACAAAGGATGAAGTCAAACAATCATTTCGAGTCTTATTTTATCAATAATTGGTATTTCTGTATGTTTCTATTAACCTTTATGTCTATTCTTAAAACATTATTGGCTTTGGCATTCATTTGTTCAATAAATATTTATTAAAGACATGCCTGGAGCCATATACTGTACTATTGACTTAGGATATGGTATTTATAGTATTTGTCATAAAATTGGGACTTCATAGAGGAGAGACAAAATAAAGAAATAAATGAATGAACAAGTCATTGTTATCCTGTTAATAAAAGGAAATGATAGGGTGATAATTCAGAATAGTTCAGGTGGCTTTATTAGATGGCATTTTCAGATGCCTTCAACAGGACATTTGAGGAAAAGATGAAAGAAGAAAGTGAGATGGCCATGGAGGAAAGAGAGACCAGTGGAGGATGAGGAAGCCATGGGTTCAGTAGCATTGGGCCAGGAAAGAACTCTCGTGTTCTGGGAATTGAGAGGAGACTGAACTAGAATTGCTGGGTAAATCCAGAAAACTAGAATTGGCAGGTAAATCTAGAAGACTATAATTCGGGGGTTAATCTAGAAGACTAGAATTGGTGGGTAAATCAATACAAGAGGCCAAACTGGAGAGCTGCTAGGTGTCTAGATGAGCAGGCCAGGATTCAGAATTTCAGTCAAGTAGTGACAAGGTGTGACTCTGGATGTAGACGGATGGCTCAGCCTGTTCAATGGAGAATGGAGAGCAGAGGGGCCAAGGAGTAAGGAGATCAAATGGAAATGCAAGGCTCAGGTGGTCACTCAGACTAAGAACTGGGTGCAGTGTAGGAGTGAGGGGTGCTTGAGTGTGGGGTCAGCATGCTTGTTGTGGAGCTTTGCATATTCAAGGCCTGGGATAAAGAGCAAGCAATGAGTCCCAGCGTTTTGCTTTCGCAACTGTGAGACTGAAGCATCAGTAACTGAGATGGAGGAGTGGGTTCATCACAGGCTTGGAAAAGAAGGACAAGCAGAAAGTCACTTTGGGGCATGTAGCTCCTGACATTCCTGGAACAGCTCTAAGTGGAGACAACGGACATCTGGAGGTGTGAATTGCCGCAGGGAGAACTCAGTCCTGGAGGCTCAAATGAAACATCTATTTGTGGGAAAATATCTGATGTCCGAGACAATGGAGAAAAGATGCCGACCTTATTTACATCTTCATTTTCACACTTTTCCCTGGAGAATGGCTCACCTTCTCACCTCCACTGTGGCATCTCATTATGTTGTCAAGACTAGATCAAGCCTAGCTCCATCCCCTGCAGCAAGGACCATTTGCTTATTATTTATTAAGCTTCTCTCCTTGGTTCTTTTACATAGCACTTCCTGGGATTGTTCATGGTCTAGGGAGCCTTTGCTATATGCCTGGGATTGTGCTGCCCTGCCTTTTTGATTGGGAAACCCTTCTTGGCCCTCTTTTAAGACTTATCCTTCAGCACTGCCTTCTTAGCCATTCTTCCTTTCTCCTCTTCCAGCTATGGCGAGGTGTGCCTGTTAGAACATTATTTATGTTTTCTTGGCATAGCATTTTCCGTATGGACCTCTGCTATTTATCGTTGTATTCCTAGTACCTTATATTGTGTCTGACATATACTAGAGTTTAGATGGTCACAGTTAGATGAGTGGACATTTCTCCTGGTCTCTGGCCCAAGAAGAACAGTTGTGGATGGGAACTGGGCCAGCAGTTTTATTTGTAAGATGGTGAAGTCTGAACTAAGTACTTCCCCAAGGAAAGTTCCATTCACGTCTCATCAATTAATAGGAGCAGAAAGGGTGAGTCGGGAATTATTGGCTCTGTGAGCTTCAAATTAAAATCCTGGCTAAGGACGTTTAACTAGACCTTTGAGATATTTGTTGAGACACAGAACCTAAATGCACTGAGTTTTAGACTTCTTATGTAATCTTTAAAACATTACAGTGATGGCTGTTCAGACAGTTAATATAAGTGATAAATTAAATGTCAAGCTCTTACTTGGATGTGAAGTTTCTAACAAAATAAAACAAGCTCTC